TTCTACCTGTGAGAAACAGGAATTATCTCCTTGACTACCGGAAGGGGTGGCAGGAGTAGGCACCTGTCAGAGGCATCCCAGGAACTGGATTAGAGACATTAGTGTACAGAGTACACGTGGAAAATAAGACAAGGTATGCAGCCACACAGCTGAGTGACAGGGAGACGGCAGCATGTGGGCATGTGCACTTTGACCAAGTGGCTGTGTTGTCATGAGGCAGTGTGAGCTTTGGGGATCATTGTCATATATGTGGTCGGATAGCTTCCTGGGAAGCCATTATAAAGTACATAACTGTATTTACAACTCATACAGAAACTCATGCTGAGTGACTGAGGGTGGTGGGCAAAGATTCTTCAAAAGTAGACAGGGCTGCCAAAGAATCTTTGCTCCCAGTGAGTGAACCATTTGGCTATAGGAACCAAGTGAGGACTCCATAATACCCAAAGTGAAGTGACAGCCTCTAATTTTCCGTCCCCTTTGTAGCTAGTTCCATGTCTAGAGACAGGTGCCCTCGTGAAGTTGCCCACATGGCCCCAGAGGCCAAGACACTACATGAGCATCTAAGGTGAGAAGTTACCTGCATTATACCTGGGTAAATCTCAACCCTGACAGCAGCAGTTGCTGCTGCCATGCACTTGTCCTAAGGACCCAGCTGCTGTGCGGTTGGACAGGGACCAAGTACATGGTGACTGGGAAGTTACTCGTACTGTCTCCCTGGGAATGCTTATTTTTATGCTGCTGTTGTCCTTTCTGGGCTTATTTCTGATAAAAGGCTGTCAAAGTATGGCCTATGGACATTAGAAAATAGACTTAATTAGTGGAGCATTTGCAGAGAAATTTTACTAAGGAGAAAGCAAAATATAAATAGCTTGTCCTTGTCCTAAGTAAAGTTATGTAGTGTGTAGGAAGATATGGGACAAATACATGAAAATTCACATCAGGAGTTTTGATAAATGTGCGTGAGTGCTAAGATGCTCTGAAAGTACAAAAGAGGTGTGGTTCCCTAGAAACCAGGTTGTCAGGGAGGTAATCATAATGGAGCTACAGTGTGGGCTGTGCCTGAGGGGGAAAGAGAATGCCTTGCAGAGCAGATGGTGACGGCTGTGTATAGTGGCACCCTAGGGCCTCTGCGTGGAAAGTTCTAGATTTCCTTGTCACACTGTCTTCTCTTAGTGAATCTGTGAAGTTAAGTTTATCTTATTCCTATTCTAAAAGTAATGTTTATAATAGTTTAAAACATGCACAATAGAAGACGTCAGTAATAACATGCAGATCTAGGCATAAGATGCACGCCTGTAATCTCAGTACATTAGACATGGAGCTGGAGCATCAAGAGCTCAAGGTCATTCTTACCTGCATAACCAGTTTAGAGCTCTCCTGAGCTACATGAGATGAGACCCTGTTTCAAAAAACAGACAGACAGATACTACCCCAAAGATAAGCAGGACTTTATTTTATTTTGCTTTGCTTTTTAAGAGAGATAATAGTTTTATTCTTTGAGAATTAATATACAAGGTATTTTGATCATATTCACCTCTCATTCCTCTCCCTAATTTCTCCTAGAGCTACCCTGTCATTTTTTAAAATAACCTATGAAGTCTAGTTTGTGCTATCCATAACTCATGGATATGGGACTATCCACTCAAATGTAGTGACCTACCAGAGCTACAACCTTACAGAAAACTGACTTTCTCTCCCAAGAAGCCATCAACTGTCAATTAGCTTCTCATCTAAGAGTAAGGCTAATGAGCCCTTCCTCAAACTGGATGTTCTGATAGACAATTTTAGACTTTTTCATTGGTATGATATTTCATTCAGACTAGAAATTCTGTATTTCATAGTTCTTGTTTAAATTGCATCGTAAGCATTCTCTAATCGCTAACTCTTTATAAACATAAGTTTGCAGTGACTATATAATGTACTGTTGAGTGGATACCCCATAATAGCTTCCTTTTTAGTATTAGCAAAAGATGAGAGTGAGGTTTACTGAAAACCTTCCAACTCAGGTGGCTTATAAATAATTCTGTGATTCTGGGAACACATGGAAACCAGACTGTAAGAGCCAACAATGTTGTCATGAAATAGAAAAGTTGCAAAGTTGAATGAAGACACAACCTGTGTGTCATGGTTTCGATAGAAAGTGTTTCCCAGACTCAGGTGTTGAAAGCTTGATCTCTGTTAGTGTTTGGTGCACTTTTGAGAGATTATGGTAATATTAGGAGGTGGGGCCCAGTTGGAGGAAGTAGGCGCTGAAAAGTTGTATCTTGTCCGGGCTCTTCCTCTTGTCTCTGCTTGCCAGTCCCCATGAGACTGGCATCTTTGCTCCACTACATGTGTCCCACCATGATCAACGTATTAAGCTTTATCTGAGGTCCTTAGTAACAAGCCAGTAAACTGAAAACTGAAACTGTGAGCCAAAATAATCCCACCCTTTCAAGTTGTTTTGGTTTGCCCAATAGGCTGAAAGACATTGTAAGAGAAAGGTAAGTCTGAGGTTATATTCCCACAGAGTAAAGGTTCAATAAACCCTTTTTCCTCACCACTCCTCACTGACTGAGGAACCATCCTGGCCCTGCACCTTTGCAACAGGAATAGGCTTCTGACCTTCTCCACCTCACACACCAAAATGAAGTAGTACCTCACCACCCTCATTCCATAGGTTTCTTCATGCCTCGTCCTCTCCAAGCTGAGGAGGGGTGCATCTCACCAACTGCCAAGTTAATTCCTGGTTTTGGTCACACTGTCATATGGGATTGACCCCTGTGCTTCTCCACACTTATTCACCAGTTTTCAGCAGAAATTCTTTCAGATTTCAGCCCAGTTTCTTAATGTTGTGCCCCTACCTCACCAGTACCTGTCAGCTCAGTGCATGTGGGTTGTGCTCTCTTGCACACCCTCATTGTTTCATGCATGCCTGACACAAGCTCCCAACTTGGGCTGTTTCCCTTGAGCCTGTTTCCAGTGTGGGCATCACAGCAGAGCCATTTCTTGTTTTCAGATGCTCCTCTGTTGGCATGCCCACAAAGGTGGGTGTTTGTGCTCTGTGTGTTGTGTTAGAACTGGCTGCTGCTCTCCTCTTCCAGCAAACATTGCAACCTAAGATGACATCAGCCGTGGTGCATGTTTCTCTTTCCTGATGTAACAATAGGGGTGTAACCAAAAATGTGTTTGTCTATATTGTGGTTCTATACACAAGGAATTCTTTCCTCCAAAAAGTACAGTAAAAGTATAGAAATAGGAAAAGTTGTATTTGATTTTTCTTTGAAAAAGGATTTCCAGTTTCTCAAATATATCTAAGGAGAGGCCTGCCTCTGCTGGAACTAAAAACCTTGCAATCCTGAGCAATAGCGGACAATTAGATAGCAAGAGCAAAATGGTTTCTTTCTCTTTCTTTCTTTCTTTCTTTCTTTCTTTCTTTCTTTCTTTCTTTCTTTCTTCTTTCTCTCTTTCTCTCTTTCTCGTTTTTTTTTTCTTTCTTTCTCTCTTTCTTTCTTTTTTCTGTACCAGTCTTCTCTTTGGTTCCCAGAATAGAGATATAGAAGAAGAATTAGCTTTGATGTTAAAATCATGGCTATAAATTTCTGCCAAAAATTGTAGTTCCGGCATCATTTCATGATCCTCTGTGGCTAGCTGATACAACTCCTCTTCTGCTTTATGGTTACATTTGAATGAGGGACTATAATAATAGTTCACACTTATTAAGCATTTCCTCTGTACCATGTACTGCATTGATCACTATTTAAGTCTTTTTATTCATGATACTGCTTCTAGGTAGATGCTATTATTATTTCCATTTTATAGGTGAGAAAACTCCATTAGGCTATCTCAAGGTCAAACAGCCAGTAAAGGGCAGAGCAGAGTCAGCCTTTAGCCTCCATGTGGCCTCTCAGTCCATGGTTTTACCAAACTATGCTTCTATACATTTAATTTTAGGCTTTTTTCCTACCTGCTTTTATTGTTGTTTGGTGTTTTGGTTTTGTTTGCTTGTTTAGTTTAGGTTAGGTTTTGTGGTATTGGATATTAAACCTAGGGACTCGTACTAGCCAAGGGCTTTCCCACTGAGTTGTCTCCCCGGCCCTGTAATAGTTATTAACACATACAGCATAGGATCTTGTTGTAAAAAAAAATAATGAAGCTTATTATCATGTCTACTGTGGTAAGGTTCTCCATTTCACTGATCTCATTATTTTTCTCATTACTAATCATAAACTCAGATTAGATTTTTTAGAAGATGACCATAGAATACATTTCTCAACAACAAACTTGGTTGTCTTTTAAGTTTCCCATAGTGCAAACACTTTTCTCTATCTGACTTCCACCCCCTCGTGGGCTTGCTGGCCTGTGTTGTGGAAACACGTGCAGAAGCAGGTGCTTTCAGCCCTGAGAAGCCAAGCTCTACTTGCAGAGACTTAGCTGTTAGTCACATGGATCTGGCTGTCCTGCCTGACCTCCCTAGTTCTCTTTGGGTTTTTAAGGTTATTAATCCTTGGGAAGAATTGACGGGGAGAGAGATTATAGTTCTCTCTTAAGTTAATTCACCTGAAGTTGTTAAGAGTTGTTTAGAGACTTTAGTCAGGATCATTCTGGACTGTGTGTGGGAGGTGTATTCTAGCCCAAGTTCCCCTTTTTAAATTTTCACTAGTGAAACATTTGAGATAATAGTTTCTTACCAAGATTGACTTATACTGAAGAATAATCAAGTGGTTTTCCTTTAATCCCTGCTCACCACTTTATTTAGTTGATTGATTGATTGTTGTTTGTTTGTCTGTCTGTTTGGGCGGAGGGCCGTGAGGGGAGGTCACAGGGCAGCTGTGGATCCAGAAATTGAGCTTAAATGTTTAGGCTTGGCAGCAAGTGCCTTTAACCTCTGAGCCCTTTCTCTGGCCTCTTGTCTCAAATATTTTTCTCACGTACATAGTTCTTTTCAGAATGTCTCACCATACTTGTTAGTAAAGTATCCATTGTTGTAACTTTAAACAGTAAATTTTATCTATCCACAGGAGAATCTTAAAGAGTGAGCCTCCATATCCCCAGGAAATGAGTGCTGCAGCTAAAGACCTGCTTCAGCGTCTTTTGATGAAAGATCCCAAGAAGCGATTGGGATGTGGCCCAAGGGATGCGGAGGAAATCAAAGAACACCTCTTCTTTCAGGTGAAATTTGGAAAACGAGTGTACTTAATCCTCTTGGTCACTTCCCCATTTCACCTACCTTAGTCCCCTAATTCTTATGACAGATAATGTTTAGGAAGGACCATAATTCTACAGGTGTAGACCTAAATGGCCTTTTCTCCCTAGAGCAGTAGGAATGAGGAAGGTCGTGATAGCATTCCATTTTCTCCATAGTGATGTCCAACCTCTGACACTGAGGCAGGATGCTGTCAGCTACAGCGTGCATACTTGAGAATAAAACAACTGAGCAGCCAAAAATATTGTCCCCTGAAGTCTCAAGCTTTGCTCAGGTTTACAATGCCTGTTCATGGGCATTGAGGGTTGTGTGTAGCCTGCAGGTTGGACACAGCCAGACAAGTTCTAGGTAGTAGTTTCTGTAGGTGACTTGGGGTTTGCACGTGGGCTGAGGACGTGTGTATTTCCTGTCCAAGTTCATGAGATGTCGCACCTGGTTTCCCTTGGTTACTGATTCCATCTCCTCTTCTTCCCAGGGAAACATCAGACTGTTCTGAGCCTGCTTGCTTCTCAGACATGGCATAAGTTGCCATTTGCTTTCTTAGGAAAAAGCCAGGTGACACTATTTCACAGAGCACTAGCACATCTGCCAATTTCATTTTCTCAGTTTATTCTAAGGCTAACAAATAATGTTGGCACATGGCTGAGCTGCTTAGTAATTTCAGTCTGAACGGTAAAACCTGGGGTGCCGTGGCCCTGGTTTCTAAAATCCTGAACAGGGAGCACTTAAATAACTTCACATATCAACAATCATGACCTGAGTATTCATTAAATACTGGAGCAGTCATCCACGTTATGTGGCTTTATTCTGTAAAATGTTACATTATTATCACCAAACAGATGAACAGAGTATAGCAGGCAACGAGGAAATAATTATTTTAAGTGAGCTTTCATAGTGTTGTTTATTGCCTTTTCAATATAAAGAAGCAAGGTTGGAGTGTAGGTCAGTGGAAGAGCACTCGCCTTGTGTGCATGAGGCCATAGATTTTTGTCCTCTGCATGGGGCGAGGCGGTGGTTTCCTTATTGAAATGAGATCTCTTCACATCGCTGTGTGATCAGAGATGTTTATTTTAGTCTCTCCAACCATTTAAAAGTATTACTGTAAAACTTACAAAGTTCAGCACACGGTGACAAACACATTTAGAGTAAAATGAACAGTACTATGCACTGGCTGAGAAATATTAATTTTTGAATAAACATTATATCTTGTTCATAGTTTGGCTTAAAAATTAACAAGTAAGTAAAATTCAAACAAAATTCTCCCATTGTCTTTTTCTACAGTGTTTTTCTATGCTGTTCCCAGTGCTTGTGAATATTTTAGTATGGAAGTATTTATCTTCTTGAAAACTTGGAATAGTAATTTTAATTTATGTAGTTGCTTTCATTTTTAAATGATAGGGGTAGACCAGAAGTCTACTTAGAAAATTCTAAATGATCTTTTCTCTGTAATGGTGTAGAGGTGGGAAGAATCGTTAATAGCATTCAATTTTCTACATATTGAACGTTCTTCTGGTAACAAGATGTTTCTTTAAAGAAAATTACTCCTTTACTCTAGAAGTTTGTCATTTTTAAAGATTCTTTTTAGGATTTTTAATGTGTGTATAAGAGAGAGTGAAAAAAGAGAAAGAGAGCGTGCAACTGCACATGCATGTTCCTGCGCACATGCTTATATGGAGGTGAAAGACAACTCATGGGAGCCGGTTACCTCTTCAACCATGGGGACCTGAGGATCAAACTCAGACTGTCATGTTGGGCAACCAACACCTCTACTATACTGAACCATTTCACCTGACCTGGAATCAATCAATCTATTTATCTATCTATCTATCTATCTATCTATCTATCTATCTATCTATCTAT